CGGTCGACGACCTGCAGAAAGACCCCATGGCCGCGCTGAGCAAGGGCTTCGGCTGGTTTACGAGCACCGTCTCCAAGACGGCCAAGACGGTCAACGATGGCTACATTCAGCCCACAGCGAAACAGGTGGGTGATTCTTCTACTTCTGGAATTCCGTGTCCTCCGGCGCCGGCCCGGACGAAGACGTCAGGACTAATACGTCGCCCCCCAGCTGGCTGAATCCGACTTTGCGAGACAAGCTCAGGTCGCCGCCGGCAACGTCGGCCGCGCAGCGCAGCAGGGTGCCCGCAACGCCCATGATGGCTTCAACCGATTTGTCGAGGGCGGTCCTAATACCCAAGGCGGCCAGGGATCAAGACAGGCGCCCTTGGACGAGAGCAAGAAGGACTTTTGGGACAGCTTCTCGAACCTTGCGGACCAGAGGCAGACAAACAGCGGCAGCTCCATCGGCACATCGGCTATGGGCAAGAAGACCGGCGGAGCTGCGGCGCCCGCAACGAAGAAGGACAACGATGGCTGGGATGACTGGTGAGTGATGCTGAAGAAGTGAATAGGGGAGTTGAGTAAGCGGTTATCGTGCTTTGGCAGGCCTGCATAACGTAGAATATCATTTTGCTGCAATATCAAATTGTTTGGAAACAGGAAATTCCTTTTTGCCTTGGACAGGATTGGAGGCTCGGCGTATCATTTTGCTCATTTTGCGGCGGAGAATGTCTCCCTCACAGCGGATTCATCAAAAGCAACGCATATATCTGAAAGCCGAATCTTCAAGGAAAAACGACGCACCTTCGGGATTCTGTTACCGCAGGTCAAGTCGGCGTCTTTGCTCTGAATCACCGAAAAGGGTTAAGTGGAGCGGTGACCCGAGGTTAGCCGGTATCGCTGCACGGAGGTCCCATTTTCCCCAGTGACGACACGGCCACGGGGGACTCTGAATCTGAGCTCCCACCTCCAATTCCCGTCTTCAATCCCACCCCACCCCCGACGACAGCAACACCATCAACTCTCCGAGGCCATTGTACAAGCCAACAGAGAGTCCCAAAATGTCCGCCCTCAGAATCCTCGTCCCCGTCAAGCGGGTTATTGACTACGCTGTAAGTTTCGACTACCCCACGAGCCGCAATGGGCCGCAGAGATTTGGCTTGTGATCCGACGACCGAGCTGACACCCGGAATCCGAAAAAACACAGGTCAAGCCCCGAGTCAACAAGGCCCAGACGGGCGTCGAGACGGCCGGAGTCAAGCACTCGATGAACCCCTTTGACGAGCTCTCGGTCGAGGAGTCGGTGCGCATCCGCGAGAAGAAGCGCGCGCCCGGCGGCGTCGAGGACATCACCGTCATCTCCGCGGGACCCCCCAAGGCCGTCGACGTGCTGCGGACGGCCATGGCCATGGGCGCGGACCGCGCGATCCACGTCGAGACCAAGGAGGGTGACGACCTCGAGCCGCTGTCGGTGGCGAAGCTGCTGCACAAGGCCGCCGAGGAGCACAAGTCGAACCTGGTCATCCTCGGCAAGCAGAGCATCGACGACGACGCGAACCAGACGGGCCAGATGCTGGCGGGTCTCTTGGGCTGGTCGCAGGCGACGCAGGCGAGCGAGGTCAAGTTTGGGGAGGGCGATACGGTCAGCGTCACGCGCGAGGTTGACGGTGGCGTCGAGACCGTCAAGGCGAAGCTGCCGCTCGTCATCACGACAGACCTGAGGTTGAATGAGCCGCGGTACGCCAGCTTGCCGAATATCATGAAGGCGAAGAAGAAGCCGCTCGAGAAGAAGAAGCTGGCGGACTACGGCATTGGTGTTGAGAAGAGGTTGAAGGTTTTGAAGGTTACTGGTGAGTTGTTGATTTTGGCTGTACGGGCACGTTTAGGTGGTTGTGCTAATAATTGTGTACAGAGCCTGCCCAGAGGCAGGGCGGCGGCAAGGTCGAGGACGTCACCGGGCTTGTTGCGAAGCTCAAGGAGCTTGGTGCCTTGTAAGGGGCGTGGCTTATTAGCCTGTACCAATATTAAAGAGCATTTTGCAATAGACTGGTTTGATCATATGTTCCATCCATGTCTGAGCTATCTTGAATATGTCTCTTTGGGATATCATGTGTAAGCATGCTCATCTACAAGTCAAGGCAGTTCGGCTGTTACACGAATGCTCAACTTATGTCGTTGTGATTCGGACATCTTGAGGGATGATGTTGACGAGGGGAGCACGGAGAACTTCATTCTCTCATGAATTTTCCAAGACTTGTGGCAACATGCGCTGACAGGCGTTCTAGATTGGACAGAAAGTAAACTGATGGATGCGCCGATCTGGCCTAGTAGAGTCGTCCTCGGAAGTATCCACTGACAGAGCCGCATGAACAGGTTATCGGATTACTTCAAAGCTTGTAAACTCTGTCAATAGTAATCAACTCTAATGTTGGGTTCGGCTGTCACCGGTCAGCCAGAAGTGCAACAGGCCCCGGATTGGACGTTGGTTGATGCAGCGTAAGGGGCTCGCTGGTGCCGTCTTTGGAAAGCTGCTCGGGAGCGACTCGGCGACCACATTGGGCGCGTGTCATGCATCTGTGTGGAAGTTGTCATCTACGGCAGGAGCATCACAGAGCCGGCGCGCCTTCCGAAAATCCACACGACCGCCGTGCCGGGACCCACACTGCCTCCTGCCTCACCTATGGTACTTATTCGAACTTCACCACCAGGCCTTTCAACCGGTTCAACGAAAACGGCGTGACCCAGTTGGTAAAAGCACACGTTCAAACAAATACCGCCAATAGGATATCTGGTGATCCTGGAGGGGCGCCCAGTTCGAGTCGTCTCTCGTCACGCGAGAGGGGGGCCTGGCAGTAGTAAGTCTTCCGTTCCGTTTTGTCTTTTATTATTACTTTCTTTATTATTTCTTTTGCGTGTTTATGTCCCTCCAACGGCTTGGTTCTGCTGCGTTCGACCGAGGTCGACCTCACGATGTTCCATTCGCATATAGAAAACATGACAGAGCCGCTTCCTCACCACTCCCGCATAACCCAAGCCCTAGTTGGTCGCATCCTTTACCTGACTGTACGAAGTCCCTCCCGCAGCAGCGTCAAACTCCATCGCCTGGTCCAATCCAACGATGGAAAACAACTTGCGCGGCGTAAAGTCCGGCTGCGTCCCAACCACGCCCGTCTCCTTCAACCTGGTCAACGAGTCTCGCATAGCCTCATACGCCGGGGCAATCGACGCAAACGGCACAATCATCATCCTGAAGCCGATGTCCTTCGCTTGCGCGGCAGTCCACGAGGGCGTCGATGCATGCTCCACCATGTTCAACAAGACCGGCGTCGGTGCAAGCGCCTTGCACGCATCCCTGGCCTGCTCTTCGGTCCTCACACCCTCGAGGAAGGCGACGTCAGCACCGGCAGCGATGGCCGCTCTCAGTCTGTTCAGCGCCTCGTCGAACCCGTGCGTCTGCAGCGCATCCGTGCGGGCGATCACGACAATATCGGAACCAATCTTCTCGCGGGCGAGCTTCGCAGCCTTGATGCGCGCCGCGAACACCTCGACATCGACGACTTCCTTGCCCGTCAGATGGCCGCAACGCTTCGTCTGCACCTGGTCCTCAATGTGCAGACCAGCGACCCCCGACTGCGCGTACTGCGTCACCGTACGGGCGACCTGGTTCGGGCCGCCGTAGCCGGTGTCCGCGTCCGCGACGAGGGGAACGGAGGGGTCCAGGGAGGCGAGCATCTCGGCGTGCGAGCGCATGTCATTGAGGGTGGCAAAGCCGAGGTCTGGAAGACCCAGGCGTGAGGCAGAAGTGCCTGCGCCGGTCTGTGGATGTTTAGCTGCTGAGACTGTGGACGAGGCAGGTAGGTTGTTTCTTACCATGTAGAGGCCGTCGAAGCCGACCCCGAGTGCGATCCTCGCGCTGAAGCCATCGTACACTCCAGGCAAAAGGATGAGGTCGTCTGTCGTCTTGAGACGGTTGCGGAGCCGTGTCGCGGCGGATACGTTGTCCGATGGCATTGTGACGTGAACCGGGTTGGGTGTGTGTGGTGTTTCGCAATGTGACGAACTCTCGAAAGGCGCGGTGTTTCTCGACGTCCGTTGTCCGCGCAATATCAGACGGAACGAGGGCCGCGGTCGCCGCTCGTGATCGACCCTCCTATTATACTGATTTATAACCTCCATGACGTGTTAGTCCATCATACCCACCAGGTGGGCTTCCCCCCTTTTTCCCTTCTCGCCTTTCGGGAATATCGGAGAGGCGCGACGGAGAATTTTCTGTCTGTTTCCACCTTTGAGCCACTTGTGAGCCTCATCAAAAGTTGGAGAATTGACGATGCGTGGAACGCCCTCGTTATTCCCGTGCTGTTTGCTTTACCAAGTGAAGAGGGTTCCATCCCGCATGCCCGCGTCCGCGGACCGCCATCGGCCGAGTTTATGTGGGCTTTCCGTCCGATCATTGCCCCCGGTGATCTTAACTCATTTTGACCCAGGACTAACATCTCTTTGGTCGAAGTTCCCTTTTTGACTTCCCTTCCCATCCAACACTCCCGCGGTCACAGCCGCAAAACATTCAAGGTTTAGAAAGAGGGTGAGAAATGCGATTATATAGACTTTGAGCCTGCAACACTTTTGCTTCCTCCCCCTCCAATACAAATGGAACAACGCACAACGATGGGGGAGTCTGGAGCCCGGTGCGTCCGAGAGGGCCAAGCTTCGTTATCGGCTCTTTGCTTTTTCTCGGCTTTTCGTTGCTTGTTTTGGGCAGATGAGCACAAGAATCCCATGTGGTCTTGAGGATTTGGATTTGTGGGAAGGTTGGATATAATACCGGGACGAACACTACCGTTTGGCTTTGGGGAGGGTGGCCTGCGTATGCTCCTTGACTCGATGTGCGGGTTCAGGACTGTGTACTCCAATACAGTACATTCCATCAACTTGACCTTTTCTTCATCTTATCGTCCACTACTTGTCCTTCAAAGCTGGGAGAGACGACACATACGACGGTACGGAGACGACTTGGACGGCATGGGCAGGATAAGTTTCGCCAGCAAAGATGTCTCTGTCGAGACGGTCGAGAAGGGCACAGTGGTCCCGGATTCACCACTTTCGCCAACCAGGCCGCCGGAGGAAATTGCCATGGAGCAGCCAGAATGGAGGGCCACTGAGAAGAGCCTCGTGAGGAAGTTGGACATGTCGTTGCTACCAGTGGTCTGGACATTGTACATGTTCAACTTTCTCGACCGGAACAACCTGGCGTAGGTCTCGCGCCGCCGTCAGTGACAGGGTGGAAAGGAACTAACAAAAGGCTAGACAGGCGAAATTGAACGGTTTCGAGAAGCACCTGGGCCTTGTGGGGAACCAGTTCAACACTGCTGTGTCGGTATTCAACGTCGGGTACGCACGCGCGAAACGTCCCGTTTGACGCTTATTGTGTATGGGTGCTGACACGGAGTGCAGGTATATGACCGCACAGCTGCCGTCCAACATGCTCATAACACGGGTCCGGCCGAGCATATATATCCCCTGCTGCGTGATTCTGTGGTCATGCGTATCCGCTTCAACGGCAGCGGCTAAGGACTTTTCGAGTTTGGCGGTCATCCGAGTCTTCTTGGGCGTGGTTGAAGCGCCTTTCTTCCCGGGGGTTTGCCAGCCCACCTACCCAACCCCCTTAGACTCTTGCGTACTAAGACACGCTCTAGGTCATCTACATCCTGTCATGCTGGTACACCCAGAAGGAGCTCGCCTTCCGTACCGCGATCCTTTACTCTGGCATGCTCGTGGCCACCGCCTTCGCAGGGCTCATCGCCGCCGCCGTGTTCGCGCATCTAGACGGCGTCCGCGGGCTGGAGGGGTGGCAGTGGCTCTTCATCATCGAGGGGGCGGGCAGCTTTGCGTCGGCCTTCACCGCGCTTGCGTTTCTGCCGGATTACATCGGGAGCAAGACCGGGGTCTGCTCGTGGCTGATGAGCGAGGAGGAACTGAGGGTTGCGAAGATGAGGATGGACGCCGACCGGGTGACGGTGCCGGAGGAGAAGGGGACTGTATGGCATGGACTAAGGCTTGCTGTTACGGACATCAAGACATGGGGGTTTGTGAGTGCTGAGGAACCACCGTTAGGTGATGTCGTTGCTGATCCTGTCGCGCAGGTCTGCTTGAATGTCTTTTTCCTCTCTTGTCACGGGCTGACGAGCTTCTTCCCTACGATCGTCCAGGGGTTCAAGCTGGGCTCGAACACGATCGCGCTCGTGCTCACGGCGCCGCCCTACCTTCTAGCCGCCGTCGTCAGCATCGGGGTCGCCATGTCCAGCGACAGGCGGGGCGAGCGCGGCCTTCACATCGTGGCCCCCTTGTGCGTCGCCATGATCGGGTACATCATCACGGCCTCGACGGTCAACAGTCCCGTGCGGTACTTTGCCAGCTTCCTCTTCGTGCCGGGGGCATTCGCGCCGACGGGCTTGATCTTCAGCTGGGCCGCGAGCACGCTGAGCGCCACCCCCGAGAAGAGGGCCGCGGCGACGGCGCTCGTGTGTCTGCTGGCGCAGCTGGGGGGAATCTGGGGGCCATACTTCTTCAGGCCGCAGGATAGTCCGCGCTACTTGCTGGCGTTTTGTCTGATGCTCATGTTCTCATGTCTTACGGTGGGCATGGTGTTTGTGATGAGGCTCGCGTTGAGTAGGGAGAATGGGAAGATAGTCGGGGAGGCGGAGGGGACGGGCAGGAGAGTGAGGTTGTATATGTTGTGATGGAGTTTTGTTTTGGGTCTGGCGTTTATGAGATGTGGGAAACGATGGGATGAATGACTTTGTCTGGAAGACAGAGCAAGGCGTCCAGTCTTGAATTGTAGCATGCGCAACGGGGATCAGGTTATCACTCTTTGAAGGTTACGGCTTTTCCAGGTTGGAGGAGTTGATGGCGCTCATGTGAAAAATCCAAAACGACCTACGAGAACCACCCGCTCAGCGTCTCCGATTGAGCCTTTCTCAAGTACTTTGGCTGTGAAGGGTCATGTCAACCACTTTTCGGTCCAATACAGGAATTTGAAAGAGTAAATGACTGCTTCACTAGAAGACTCAGGAGTTCGTTTATCGATCAAGCAGAGCCCCAAGAGGATTAGTGGGACTCGAATGTCCGACAATAAAAGCATTCAACTCCTCATCTTGTTGGGCATGCAACGCATATCCATGTGGGATATGGTTGGTTGAGTCAGTATTAGGTTGACGCAGGTCGTGTAGCGATGCAAGTCCTGTTGCTGTCTGCCATCTTGGCATGCGGCCAAGCGTCTCGGCTGGGCCTGCCCGACACGACAAGTGCCCACGTGATGCCATTCTATGGCACAGAAGCGCAGCCAGGGTGACATTTGTGTAGAGTCTCTTTGAACTCTGCGAAAGCCAGAAACAAAGCAAACATGGCAGAGGTAACCATTTCTCCATCATAGAGTTGGTTGCGTGCTGAAGCTTGTTAGATTGAGCGAGGAGGAGAAGGACAGACGGGCGGTGGAGGGCGCAACCGGGGTTTCCGAGAGGTTGGCGCTGGCGGGGGTCCTATTTCGAGACAAGGACAGCAGCGCGACTCGAGTCGGTGAGTAGAGGTTGTGAAAGGATTCAACTTGTTTGCTTCGTTTCTGGTTGGCAAGGGAGAGCCCGATAGGCCGGAAGCGGAGGGCGTCCCCGTCCGTCCGCCCCGTTTAGGCCGGTCAGAGTTCTAGGCCACATGCAGTTACGGCAGTTAGTGGACTATGCATTGTCAAGGTCGCAGACAGTTGGACGTTTTGCTTTGGAGTTTTGGATGGTGGGACTCGACTCCGAATACGGCCGGTTCATCAGAGACAGCCGTTTGGTTTGGCCACCGAGCCCACCGGTCTGGACGTTGCGTCAATTTCAGGACTCCAAAAGACGCAAATTACACTTCCGAATACAGCAGAGTCGATCTTAGGGTTTGGGTTATTTTCCCACGCACCAAATACCAGCTCAATGGCTCCCTCGCGTTCACGGCGGTGATGTAATGTCGGTCAATCAAACAGGGCTGATAAGAGCTGGGGGGATAAATACCACCCTAGGTGCCTAGGTACCTTAAGGTGCTTTACCTTATCCGTGAGGTCCTCGGGTATCAGATAGCTTAACGTGCGTGGCCAGCCAGGGAGAGAGGAATTATGTAAGGCGTGATTTCTGGGCGGATTGTCTTAGCACATTGCCTCACGTCAAAGCCCCGCGATAACGACGACATCGGCGTGCGCGCCCTGACTGCGGGGCGGCGACATGTCCCTCATCTTCTGCCGTCCTTGGGGCCCTTGGGCGCGCTGTCTGGTGAGAGTTTCCCCTGCAGCGACTGCGACTCTTTGCAGCGCCGGTCCCCATGGCTTCCCCGTCTTCCCCGTGGCGGGCGTATCACAGCGTTGGAACCCCACTAGAGCCAGCAAATTTGCACAAAGGGTCCAATGACAAGCTTTCCATTTATTTTCTTAAGCAGCCTCAATGTACCGTGTACTGGCTGCACGCCTGCAAATGTACGCTGCGAGTGACCTTGACCTTGACCATGACCTTGCCCGGGGATACTGGAGCTGTGTTCTGTCCCTGTCCAGTGTGTGTGTGTGTGTGTGACTCCTCCGCGCCGGTGCTCGTGCTCCTCTCTCTCTCTTATTTTTCTAGCCGATATCTACCTCCCCTTCACTCTCTCACTTTTTTCCCTCCTCTCTCACCAACAAAAAAAATCCTGCACCATCTTGCAACATCCCCGTCACACAATATCTCCGGCCATAACCCCTCCGCCTCCAACATCTCGTTCAGAGAAAAATAAAATACCCCTCTTCTGATTGCACATTTGCAAAGCTGCCCTTATGAACGGGCGCCCGTCAGTCTTCACCTCTCAGGTAAGTTGCTGCTGCTGTCGATAATATGCAGCCGTTTTTTTTGTCTCTCATCATTTTCCCCTCCTGCGGCCGGGGGGTTTTGAGGTCACGGCCTTCGTGATACTCAACCCCGCCGGTCAAAACTCTGTCTCGTGCTCGTGGTCATAGCCCAATTGATTCAACCGGCGTCTACTTGCACCTTCTGCATTCTTCAATTCGTCCACAATGCCGCCGAATACCAGTTGCTGACTCGCTATCAACAGGATTACCTTTCAGGTTCGCTCGATGCCCTCTCCGCGGTTGACTCACCGCCCTCTGTCAACCAAAGACTAACCATGGCCAAACAGACCACTTGTGGAAGGCTTCCAGGGCCTAAAGGTCTCTTGACACAACCAGAAAAGCTACCTCGTACCAGACCTACCAACCGATAAACCACCATGTTCTCTCGATTGGCCACCCAATTCTCTAAGCCCGCGGTCAAGAGTGCCGCCGGGTTGAGCACCGGTTTCCGTGCTCAGACCCGATTCCTCTCCAAGCAGGCCACTGGCAGCAAGGGACGCAAGATGCCCTTCAACCAGACCCGCGCCACTGCCCCCGTCGCAAACCTCGACGCTACCTTCACCATCCGGGTATGTAACCTCCGACGATCCACCGAAACGTCACTGTGAATCAATGGTGGGCTAACCATGCACAACAGGATGGTCCAGTCTTCTCGGGCCGAGCCTTCGGAGCAAACTCCAACATCTCCGGCGAGGCTGTCTTCACCACCTCTCTCGTGGGATACCCCGAGTCCATGACCGACCCCTCCTATCGCGGCCAGATTCTGGTCTTCACCCAGCCCCTCATCGGCAACTACGGTGTCCCCTCCAACCAGCTTGACGAGTACAAGCTCCTCAAGTACTTTGAGTCTCCCCACATCCAGTGCGCCGGTGTCGTCGTCGCCGACGTCGCTGAGCAGTACAGCCACTGGACTGCCGTCGAGAGCTTGGGTAACTGGTGCGCTCGTGAGGGTGTCCCCGCCATCTCTGGTGTCGACACCCGTGCCATCGTCACCTTCCTCCGTGAGCAGGGTTCTTCCCTCGCCAGGATCACCATTGGTGACGAGTACGATGCCGACGAGGACGAGAGCTTCATCGACCCTGGCCAGATCAACCTGGTCAAGCGCGTTAGCACCAAGGCTCCCTTCGTTGTCGAGTCCCCCGGTGCCAAGTACCACGTCGCCCTGATTGACTGCGGTGTTAAGGAGAACATCCTCCGCAGCCTCGTCAGCCGTGGTGCCTCCGTCACCGTCTTCCCCTACAACTACCCCATCCAGAAGGTCGCCTCCAACTTTGACGGTGTCTTCATCTCCAACGGACCTGGTGACCCGACTCATTGCCAGGACACCATCTACAACCTGGGCCGCCTGATGGAGACCTCCCCCGTTCCCATCATGGGTATCTGCCTCGGCCACCAGCTTCTTGCTCTTGCCGTCGGTGCCCGCACCATCAAGCTCAAGTACGGAAACCGTGCCCACAACATCCCCGCTCTCGACTTGACCACTGGTCAGTGCCACATCACCAGCCAGAACCACGGTTACGCCGTGGACGCCTCCACCCTGCCCAGCGAGTTCAAGGAGTACTTTGTCAACCTGAACGACGGCAGCAACGAGGGCATGATGCACAAGACCCGGCCCATCTTCTCCACCCAGTTCCACCCCGAGGCCAAGGGTGGCCCGATGGACAGCTCCTACCTCTTTGACAAGTACCTCGAGAACGTCCAGCTCTTCAAGGAGAGCGAGAAGATCTACAAGGACAACCGCCCCACGCCCCTCATGCTGGACATTCTCAGCAGGGAGCGTGTCGGTGTCGAGCCCACCACCCTGGCTGCGGCTGCCTAAGTTTGTTCCGCTGTGGATTTAGCTCGTTCTTGACTTTCATGGGATTTGCGGTGTCGTAGCAGGTACAAATGGGTTTTCGTCTTGGGAAGCTAGTGATGGTTCCTCTTTTTTATTTACAGTTGATAACATAGCCCAAAAGTAGCTATTCATTCCTAAATTGATGCAAAAAAAGCACTTCATTTGGAAATAAGACGTCTTTTCGTCGAGTAAATATGATACAAGTGCACAGTGATGATTGTCCCCCACCAAAACTGCCTGTGTTTTCCCTCGTTGCTATGAAATCCTTTTTTCTTGATATCTCAACATCTTAACGAACGGGCGCAACCCAAGAGAGGTTGGTGCGAGTTCACAATCCGATGATTACTTACGGACGAGTACAGGGAAACACATACGTACCCACATGCCTGTTAGTTGACGTCTCTCTGGATCGCACTCAAATCATCAGCCAGCTATCTAGGCTCATGTGTCGATGGAGGATGGATCTTCAGGCAGGCCTTTCTCTGGCTAGTCGATGGACGCCTGCCAAGCTATATGAGTTGAATTTGAGAGCGATATGCGAAAGCGTTGAAGATGTTCAATCAACGTCTCATCCACCATTCGATTTGTGTGCCCCCCCCCTCCCCCACTCCTCCTCGGCAGAGAAGGAGATTATGCCCAGCATGACATCACAGAAAGTTTCAAAGGTTCAGTTTAATGTCTTCTTGAATGTTCTACTTTGGGGAGAATGAAATCAAAATCCTCCTGTATGGTGAAGCCCGCGGGTAAGGCGGGCAGTGGTATCGCAGCGTCTCTCTCTATGGTGTCAAAAAAAGGGTCTTGTTGGGAAAAGCAATCTACAGCTTCGCGCATGCCATGGAGGCACCCGACGCTGGGCATTAGAGAGAAATTCAAATAGCCATCCTGCCCACCTCCTTTCCAGTTTTCCCCGTCCCACCCTTGCCCCGTGCTTCGAAAGCGATGCTTGGCGACGTCGTGTTTGTATCCTGCCGCATGCGTCGCTGA